GTTAATGCTTACGTCCACAGGAAGAGGCAACAAGAAATTTTACTATAACAAGATGAAGATTACAATTGTTCTCTCACTCGAAACACAACCTGAAATCTCACAACTCTTACCCTAGGAGAAAATACGACTCTCAACTTGAAACTCTCTTAACTCTCAAACTCTTTCTATTTGAGTTTTGGTGTGTATAACAAGTGAAAAGGGAAGGGGTATTTATAGTTGTGAAAGAGGGACTGAAATGAAAATTTTCCTAACTAAAGGACCTAAAAGGTGAATTGACCATTGTTGCAAATTGGTAATTTTCAACCCGCCAACTTGTTGTGCAGCTACATTTGACAATTGCTCACAATTTGCACCGTTTGTCCCCTTGTCTTCATCTAGAAGGAAACAACAAACCCCTTTGAATTCAAGCCACATCTAATAAATCTCAACCTTGGCTTGAGATTCTACCAAGACGAACATTATAGCAAATTTCTTGAACTGGATCGCCTCTTCCAAACGCCTCTGCGGGCATTCATCAATTACGAATATCGATCAAGTTCAAGCATTGCTTGAACTTTTATGTTGGGATCACCTTTGTCAACATATCTGCAGGATTTTCCTCGGAAGCAACCTTACTGATAACAATGTCACCTTGCGTAACATGTTCCCAAACAAAATGATATTTGACATCGATATGTTTGGTCCGTTCATGAAACATCTAATTTTTGGTCAGATGTATGGCACTCTGGCTATCGCAAAATACAACAGTAGAATCCTGTTATAAACCCAAACTGCTTATTAGACCTTTCATCCATAATGCTTCTTGCACTGCTTCTGTCATTGCCATATAATCAGCCTCAGTTGTAGATAAGGCTACAGTAGACTGTAATATATCTTTCCAACTTATGGCCCCTCCAAAATAAGTTAAAACATAACCTATCATAGATATTCTTTTGTCCAAATCTCCAGCATAATCAGAGTCCACATAACCAGTGACACTGCTAGAGCAATTTCTCTGATCGTATACTAAGCATAAATCTGCAGTACCTCTCAAATACCTGAGAATCCATTTCACGACCTGCCATTGTTCCTTGCCAGGACAACCCATATATCTACTGACCACACTAACTGCATGCGAAATGTCTGGACGAGTGCAAACCATTGTATACATCACACTTCCAACTGCACTCGAGTATGGAATGTGAGCCATCTATTGCTTTTCTTCATCAGATTGTGGTGACAATTCTGCAGAAAGTTTGAAATGTGATGCTAATGGAGTGCTCACATGTTTCGCCTTATCCATGTTGAAGCATTGAAGAATTTTTTCAACATAATTTTTCTGTGACAAACAAAGCTTGCCAATCTTACGATTTCTATGAATATCCATGCCTAAGATTTTCTCGGTATCACACGGATCCTTCATCTCAAACTCACCACTTAACTGAGACTTTAACTTGTTGATTTCCAATATGTCTTTAGAAGCAATCAACATGTCATCAACATATAACAACAAATAAATGTATGAACCATCTGAGAGCTGCCTATGATAGACACAAGCATCATAGTCACATCTTATGTAACTATAGTGAATCATGAAGCTATCAAACCGCTTGTACCACTGCCTAGGCGATTGTTTCAATCCAAATAAAGACTTATTTAATAGGCAGACATGGCCTTCCTTACTCGGCATTGTGAAACCTTCTGGTTGACGAATGTAGATTGTTTCCTCGAGCTCACCATGCAAGAACGTCGTCTTTACGTCAAGTTGCTCAAGTTCTAAATCGAACTTGGCCACCATGGCAAGCAATACACGAATGGAGCTATGCTTCACAACTGGGGAGAAAACTTTATTATAGTCAATCCCCTCTTTCTGATTAAAGCCTTTAGCCGCCAACCGTGCCTTGAATCTAGTTGCTTCAACCCCTGGAACACCTTCTTTCTTTTTTAAGACTTATTTGCAACCAATTATCTTCTGGTTACTTGGTTACTTGGCGGTTTAACCGACTCCCAAGTATTGTTCTTGTGAAGAGATTTTATCTCCTCATTCATAGCAATTATCCATTGTGTCAACTCATCACATGTGACAACCTCATTATAACTGGAAGGTTCTGTACCAATGGACTCCGCCACACTGAGTGCTTAAGACACTAGATTAGCATCTACATAATATTGAGGAGGTTTGGGTTTTCTCCTCGTTCTTCCAGTGGCAATGCTATATGGTTGTTCCTGAGGTGTCTCATCTTGATGAAAATCTTGCACCTCAACTTGATCACCCTGGACTGAAGTACATTCCATAAAAATAGGAGCGTCCACCCGACACTCCACCTGCTGCCCAACACCGTGATCTCCCATTTTATTTGACCCCTCTTTTTCTCGAGAATTTGTGGTGGATCGAAGCATGGATGACTCATCAAAGGTCACATCTCTGTTGATGATGAAACTTGGGCGACTTTGGATCAAGACACCACAACCTGTATCCTTTCACCCCTTGGCCGTATCCAAGAAATATACATTTCTTCGCCCTAGGTTTGAGTTTGCCCTCATTGACATGAGCGTAAGTAGGACAGCCAAATACTCTTAGACCAGAGTAATCAGCAGGAGAACCATACCATACTTCTTCAGGAGGCTTCATCTCAATAGCTGTAGATGGAGATCAATTTACCAGATAGCAAGCAGTATTAACAGCTTCAGCCCAAAAATCTTCACCGAGCCCAGTATTTGATCGCATGCAATGAGCTTGCTCCAAGAGAGTTCTATTCATGTGTTCTGCAACTCCATTTTGCTGTGGTGTTTTGCAAACAGCGTGGTGTCTCACTATTCCTTCATTTTTGCATAACTCATTAAATTCACCCGAGCAAAACTCCAAGCCATTATCCGTCCGGAATCGCTTGATCTTCTTTCCTGTTTGGTTTTCGATCAAAGCTTTGAATTGCTTGAAGTTGACAAGCACCTGATCCTTGTGCTTCAGGAAATACACCCAAACCTTTCTTGAATAGTCATCAATAAAGGTCAGTAGATATCTGTAGCCACTTTTTGAAATTGTCGGAGAAGGCCCCCAAAGGTCAGAATGGATGTAATCCACCGTACCTTTTGTTCTATGAATACCAGTGCTAAACTTGACTATTGTCTGCTTGCCGAAGATGCAGTGCTCACAGAAATTAAGCTTTCTTTTACACTACCCATACAACAATCCTCGTTTGCTCAGCACCATTGAGCCTTTCTCGCTCATATGCCCGAGCCACAATATGCCATAACTTCGTGGTGTCAGAATCTGGATCTAATGATGATGATACTGCCGCAACACCTATAACTGTGGAACCATCCAAAAAGTAAAGGCCCCGCTCCAAAAGTCCGCGCATCACAACCAAAACACCCGAGAATACTCTAAGAACTCCACCTTCAGCAGAGTACCGAAAACATTTCTTGTCTAACATACTCAAGGAAATTAAGTTTTTCTTCATTTCAGGAATGTGTCAAACATCCGTCAAGGTTCTGACAATACCATCGAACATCTTTATACGAATTGTGCCAATCCCTACGACTTGACATGCATGGTCATTTCCATTAGTACTGAACCAGAATGTTTCTCATATGTTGAGAATACATCCTTTGAAGTACTAATGTGAAATGTAGTTGCCGTATCAAGAATCCATCTCCCACTGGTGCAAGAGTCGGATACTGCTAGAACGATCTTGGCATCACTTGAAGAATCTGCTCAGCCACATTCGCACGATTATTTTGTTGCTCCTGTGATTCTGATTTATCCTTTCTCTTTGGACAATCTTTCTTCATGTGTCCAAACTTCTTACAGTAATAACACTGTATTCTTTTTTTGGATTGTGATCTTGGATGGCTTTTACTTGAATTTCCACCTCTTGCATTAGATCTGCCACGAGCAATCAAGCCTTCACCTTCATTGTTTTCAACTGACTTACCAGTGATTTTCTTTCTTAACTCACTAGATCCCAAGGCATTTTTCACCTCCTCGAGAGAAACGTCATCACGACCGTACATCATTGTGTCAATAAAATTCTCATATGAGTGAGGTAAAGAACACAAAACAATTATTGCTTGATCCTCGTCATCGATTTTACTTTCGATATTATTCAAATCCATAATAATGGAATTGAATTTATCCAGGTGTTGGGAAACAGGTGTATCTACCTCCATCTTTAGGGCGTAGAGTCTTTGTTTGAGGTAGAGCCAGTTTGTTAATGACTTCGTCATGTACTTGCTCTCTAATTGGAGTCACAAACCAGATGCGGTTATCTCTTCCGCTGCTTCTCATAGCACTTCATCTCCTAGACATAGCAGAATAAAATTGTGTGCTTTTTTTAGCATGCCATCCTTCTGTTCCTCCGAAAGCGTGTTTGGTAATTTATCTCTACCAGATAATGCCTTTAGTAATCATTGTTGAACCAGCACAGCCTGCATCTTGATGCGCCATAAACTCAAACTATTTTTCGCGGTAAATTTCTTGACTTCATATTTGGTCGATAATACACTTGCAGCCATAATTTGGAACTTTTGAATGAATAATAAAATTTTCTTCCTGATGTGAAAGATCAGACAAAGCTGCAATCACATGGCAATTCAGAAAATATTATCACTCTTTCAACTAAGCTTTGATGCCAATTTGTTGAGAAAATGATCAATTGGAGTACGTTAATACGACCACAAATAAATTTATCGAATATGTGAAGCGAAAAAAAATAAAGTGAACACAAGAATTTATGTGGTTCGCTGTTAATGCTTACGTCCACGGACAGAGACAACAAGAAATTTCACTATAACAAGATGAAGATTACAAGTGTTCTCTCACTCGAAACACAACCCGAAATCTCACAACTCTTACCCTGGGAGAAAACCCGACTCTCAACTTGAAACTCTCTTAACTCTCAAACTCTTTCTACTTGAGTTTTGGTTTGTATAACAAGTGAAAAGGTAAGGGGTATTTATAGTTGTGAAAGAGGGACTGAAATGAAAATTTTCCTAACTAAAGGACCTAAAAGGCGAATTGATCATTGTTGCAAATTGGCAATTTTCAACCCACCAGCTTGCTGTGCAGCTACCTTTGACAATTGCTTACAATTTGCACCGTTTGTCCCATTGTCTTCATCTAGAAGGAAACAACAAACCCCTTTGAATTCAAGCCACGTCTAACAGTGAGACATTAGAGTGTTTTGGTGTTGAGTGATGTCAAGTTGGGAACTTCATTAATGTAAAGAAATGCAAGTGTTGAAGGTAGGAAACCTTCCTCTGGAAAAGAATCATTGCCTTCACATTGTCCACGGATACTGAATTGTTCAAGTGAGATTAGCTGCTGCAAGTCCCAGTCCATGAGGTTTGCGGTTAACTTTTCGCAGAAGGAGACTGAAAACGAGTTTAGCTTCGAAGGCAAACCACCTGCAGGAAAGGACTGGAGTTCTGGACAGTTGCATATCTTCATTGAGTTGAGTGATGGAAGAAATGAGTGCATATTTTCAGGCAGTGATTTTAGCTCCATACTGTCCGAAACTTCGAGGACCGTGGGATTAGGAATATGCAGTCCGCCTGCAGGAAACGACTCAAACTTCGGGCATAAACTGATTCTGAGGGAGCTGAGAGCTGGAAGAACTTGATTAGGCCCCTCTGCAACTGAAAGAGAATTTAGATTACATCCTCGTATTTGAAGATGATTAAGTTTAGGGAATGATTGTAGGTGAAAGGACTTCAGAGAATAGCAGCTAAATGATATCTGCAATGTTTGCAAGGAGCCATAACTTGAGCACATAGGCGATTCTAGTCTCTTGCACCTCATGACATCGTGTCTTTTCAAAGTCGATGACGTTGCATCTTGAAGCATCGACATAAATGGGCAATCACAGATTTTCTGTTCTTGTAAAAGAAGGCAATGCATTATCCCTGCAGGTAGAGATTCGAGTGTGGAGAATCCTCTGATTGTAAACTTGTGCAGTCTAGGCACAATATGCTTCACAGACACCTTATCTGAATATCCCAAATGCAATTCGTAGATGGTTGGAGCTTGTGGAAGTGAAACCAGAAGTTGCTGACAATCGATGATCATTAGTTTTCTCAATGAAGGAAGGTAGTTCGGCAGTGTCCCGCTCAGCCGTGGACATTTCCGTATATGAAGCTCTCGAAGACATGGAAAATGTCCTTCAACATCTTTCTCAAAGAAAGTCCATTCCTGCCACTCCAACATCCTCTCAAACCATAAAATTTCAAGACTCCTAAAGGGCTTGACAGTAGATAATTCATTTCCATAGAGCTCAACTCCAACTGTCTCAACCGCATCAAATCCAATGATATAGTGCTCTTCGAGTAATGGTAGTTGCCCAACTGCTGGTCAGAAGAAGCAGTATTTACAATGGCTAAGCCGCAAAGACACCATATTCGAGAATGAACAATCCCCTAACCAATCAGGAAACTTGGTGCCCCCATAGGATTCAAAGGACAGCTTTTCCAAGTTCGTATGAGGTCGAACCATGCTCAATCCGTCTCTTTCGTTCGATGTATCAAGAGTGTGACCACTCCATTTCAATACCAACCCAGTAAGGTACTCTATCTTTAATTTTTGCATGCAGAGCACCTCTTGGATTGACAATATTTTGAAGATTGAAAATAGTTAGACTGCCCCTAAGTTGCTGAAGCTCCCCCAATTCCGAAATGCTAGATCCACCATGGTGCCCCAAAATGAATGCAGATAGTGTTTGTAGACTTGCGAATTTGCTTATCTGTAGTGGCATCTCTTTGATTCCTAGTGTCCCGGTAATATCGAGGTGACGCAATTTGATGAGTCTTGCCATTTGGTTTAGCAACTCGAGGAGTGAGACACATCCGCTAATAACAGTGTCAGCAGATTATACAAAGCACAAACGGATTCCAGTAGTCTCGTAATTTCAGTGTAGGACAGATCCAAATAGCGGAGAAGTTGCAAGTCTCCTATTGAAGCTGGCAACCCTTTTATGTTATCATACCTGGACAACGTTAAAACTCTCAAGCATTTTAAGGTTATCAATAGATCATGATAGACTTCGTATGGTAGTGTTTCAAACCAATGAAAGGGTTTTAGAGGTAGGAAGGTCCGCAGACACTTCGTTTCATTAAAGGCATCGGACATTCGAAGATTGTCGTAACTGGTTCTTGTATACGAAAAATGTTGAACCGTCTTTCGGATTTCGTTAGAATCATGAACCCCTAACATACAAAACCCTTGGGAGACAAATTCGGCTAAATCATGAATGAGATCATGCATGACAAAGAGCTTTCTAGTGCCACTTGATTGTTGGAAGAAAGGTCTTGATCGTAGATTGTTGAAGTACTCGACTCCTACATCTTCCGGCCTCTTGTTTCGTATTATTTGTGACAGTAATCCTTCGGCCATCCACAATAGGACCAGGTTCTCAATCTCAAAATCATAATCCTTGGGGAATGTGGCACAATATGCAAAGCATCTCTTCAGATGTGAAGGCAGATAATGGTAGCTTAAGAGTAAAGCAGGAACGATATTGTCATCGGCTTTAGATAAATCCCCCAGATTGCCCTCTAAAACATTCCGCCATTCGCTGACATCCCTTTTGGATCGAAGGAGACCTCCAACTGTTTTGGCTGCTAAAGGTATGCCATGGCATTCACAAACAACAACCAGCATTGTTCGTCTGCCAATTGCTGCAGGTGATAAGGAGTGGTGAGCATAATTGACGCAACGCTTTCGTTCCGTGTTGTGACAATGATCTTACTTCCTCGAGAACCATGGGTCAAGGGTCTCTTCAAGGCCTCCCAATGGACATAATTCTTATTCCAAACATCATCTAGGACTAGAAGAAATTTCTTATCCATCAAACATTCAGCCAGCTTAACTTGAAGCAAATTGAGTTCCCCAACATCACAACTCAAACAAGTGATTCCCTCGAGAATTGCTTTTGTCACTCGAAAAGCATCAAAATTCTCTGAAAAACAAACCCAGATTTTCATATCAAACTTAAACAAAGCCTCCATTTTGTTGTCATTGTAAACAATCTGAGCAAGAGTTGTCTTCCCAAACCCACCCATGCCAACTATAGCAACAACCCCAATCCCATAACCACTCGAATCATCTGTGTTCAACAACTTCGTTATAGCTTCTTTATCACCATCTCTCCCATACACACTGGATTCATCCACCAAGGAAGTGGCTGGTAATTTCCTCAAACACTTTCCACCAAACCCTTTTCTCAAAGAAAGAACATCTTTTGTCTTTCAAGATACTCAGCTCTCTCTAGAATCCCTACCAGCTTAGATTTAGTTCTCTTATGAAATGGGTTTAGTGAAGTGAAAAACCTGCGTACCTTGGTCGTGTTGGTTTGGTGTTCAGCTTCGAGCTTCCATCGCAAAGCTTCGGTCGAAACTTCATCTAGGAGATCCTCTGCATCATAAACGGCGTCTTTAACCTCGTTGAGTCACTTCTTTACGTTGTAGTTCATGATTTGTTTGGCTTCTGCATCGTCCAGAACGGCGTTGATCGACAACAATGTAGCTTCCAGCATTTGGAACAATGGGCAGTTCAGTTTTTCTACCCTGATGAAGTCTATGACTTCAGGAGAAGCCATTCTATCGAACAGGACTTGGAGAAAAGCAGAAAGGAAAGCTCTCACCGGCCATTCTATTGAAGAATTGTAGGAGAAAACAAGTGGTTTGCGTTGCAGAGAGGAAATCTGGAAATCTGGTCACGTAATAAAACAAGGCTTTTAAGCAGGTCGATGCTTACTAAGTCTACGATGGCGGCCATTTCTATGGCAGTAAATGTATATAACCCACCGTTGAATTTAGGAAACATGTGTGTACAGTTATCAAAACTTGGAGTTTACTTACTTTTAACCTTTTGACTTTATAGCTCAATATTCAACTCATGCCTTAGTGTCGAAGAGAGTATCTTTTCTTGATCCGGATTCAAACTGTTACGTGAATATTATCCTGTAATCATTCAGATTCAAAAGATTGACAGGATGAAATGCAGTGCTCATACTGATTATTACGACTATTATCTTAATGCTTTCGATTCTTTTTATTATTTATGAAAGATTGCTTAACTGAATTTTTGCCTTTATTTTACTTAAAACAAGTGGAATATTAAATTGAACTATTACACACTAAATACCCTTGCCGAAGTTAATTGAATGAACAAGTTGAAATGGCTACCTTCCCTTCCAATGCAAAATCATGGATAATATTTAATAATCTGAATGCACAATCCATAGTATACAGAGCTGGAAACTATATTTAAGCAAACACAGTAATTCTACAGAAATGTCAGCCAAGGCTGTATCAAAAGAGAGAAGAAATGCCAATGGATGGCAATGGCATCCCCTTCAGCCAATCTTGTCAGGGTTTGTGTCATCGGAGGGCCAAACCACAGTTTCCATTAGCCGCTCGCGCATCAGTTCCAAGTTCTCTTCCGAAATCTTATTGTATATTTGAGCATGATCGCATTTCTATACCAATATATAAACACATAACGTCAGAAGATACTTCGATCACTGGCCCAGAATTTCATATTAGGGGAAGGGAATAATCTTCCCGTCAAACTCCTTTGATCCACCCCTAAAATCAAGTGTTGTTCAGCATCAAATGTAAAAGCTAGTAAGAGGGTTTTTTTTATCATTTACCTTAATCCATTTCCCATACAAATGAAGCCTTGTTATCATCACTCTCTCAGCAAGCTCTTGATTCTCCTGTCAATACCAAATACACGGTTCCATATGAGGTTAGCTTGTTTGATATTAGATACCATCCGACTTCTAATTTGTTCTGATCTAAATCTATTAGTTGGAGATTACTAGGTAGTTAAGTTTACTTGAAGAAGACAATATTTGTAAGAAGAAACTATTGAAGTACATAAAAGAGAAATGAATGTTTAAAACTGGTACCTTCCCGAGCCTGCGTAAGAAAAGTTTGCCATCGCTGGGCTTATTTGATGCAACGTACCTGCCAAAATCAAACTTATTGGAAGAGAACGATACTAACAACATCATAATATCACACACCTTTCTTTATGTCCACATTCTGTTTCAAGTTTACAACATTTCAATCCTTTTCGGTTCTTTTTAAATTCAGATTTTCAGGGTCAGATTCATTTTGCCACCTCTGAATTATAGCCCAATTTGCCACAATCATGGCAGGGAACAGTGCAATCGGAAGCATATACAAAGTGGGGGGAAACCAGATATGCAACTTACTGATAAAACCATGTATATTTTGGAGGATTCATTTCATAAAGCTGATTAAGAACAGTCCTCACTGCTTTGTATGTGAAGTAATTGAGTAATTGCTGCATGCACAAAAAAAGAACATTATAAAAAAAAAAGAGCATCGACTTTTTTAACAACATTTGCACCTGAACGAGGCCTCGGAGCTAAAAGAGATATCGAATTTAAGCAGTTACATATGCTAAATATGTGTGCTTCGTCAATAATCAAGAATAATTTTAAACAAATACTAATATGTAATCTCACCTTTTGAACATCACCGAAAGTTTCTTCGTACTGCCCTCCCAAATTATCAACAACCACTAGCCCACGGTCCTTGCGCTGCTTCCTCCAACCCTTGTTAAAAATCATCTTGGAAGACAGCCTCCAATCAGGCCATGAACCGACGAAGGAGCTGCCTAATTCGACCGAACCGGGCCTTGCCTTTCTTTTCAGGCCGATGGTGTCGGATGGCAATGCTTCCAGGCACAAACAAGGACCGGCCTGAGACTCCATGACTGATGAACTCACCACGGATAAAGCCCCCACCATCTTTGTTGGTGAACTCGGCTCAAACCCGATGAGCTGATCAGTGTGACTCGAGATTGAGGGGCAAAGATGTACAATTGAAGAAAATGGAAAGTATTGTTTGTGCAGGGGGGGGAGTTGAAGGTTAACCACACAGTTTTTGATGTCCAAATTTGTCTGGATTTGGTTTAAGACACGAAACCAAGAGGTAGGTTCTTTTGTGTTTGGATTTTTCCATATTGGTGAACCAACTTGTGTGAATCTTCTTCAATGAATCTTTGGTCAGTATACATACATACATACATACATACATACATACATACATACATACATACATACATACATACATACATACATACATACATACATACATACATACATACATACATACATACATACATACATACATACATACATACATACATACATACATACATACATACATACATATACATATGTATATATATATATATTGTAACGTTGATTGTAACATTATGGCTTAAAACGTAAAGTATCTTTTAAAAACGATAATACTAGAAATTAATTTTATTAAATAAACTAATAAATAATAAGATAAAAAAAATTATAATCTGAAAAACAAAGATAAAAACAAATTATAAATGCAGATTAAATATCATCAACATCGACAATAATAATGTGTAGACAATAAATTTTATCATAATTCAACTGAGATATAGATAATTATAAGAATATGTTAATATAAAAGAATCAATTCAATAATCTAAAATATAGATAAACCTATTAATAGTTGTAGTACCTGTTTAGAATTTATTTTAATCATTGGCAAAACACATTCGTAAGCGAAACTATTTAAAGTCAGAACATTTAGAATATATAACACTGTTTTTAATCATTGAGACTACGTAATAGGTTCGTACCTATGGTATAATTAAATATTTATTATTTAAAAGGGTAAACTACGTGTTTAGTATATAAACTATCAGTTTTAATCCGTTTTAGTATCAAAACTTTTGATTATTTTAAAATTATACCTAACAATTAGTTTTTATTTCATTTTAGTACATCATCGTTAAACATTTAACATATTTACTATCTAAACTATCAATTTTTGTCTGTTTTAGTACCTAAACTTTATTTTTCAAAACTTAATGTTAAACTTTTAACGAAATACTAAAATAAAATAAAAACTAAACATTAAATATAATTTTAAAAATTTAAATATTAAAACTGATCGAAACTAATAATTTAGATTTTAAATACCTAATGTACCCTATTTAAAAATACGACCACAAATTCAATCCTGAAAATTTGTTGAGAAAGCCTATATCAGTAGGCTTTCAACATAGCCCAAACCATAACAAATCCAGAATGACTGCCTCCTTTGATCGTCTCCTTTTTCCTTCCATAGAAACGCAGACAAATATCGCATAAAAGGAGAAACTTCAAGTCCGGGACTTGCTCTTTTTAGAATCGCCTCATCTTTACTGATTTTAACATCTTCTTGTTTCTTATTGTTGGATAAATCACGATCTTCAGGCTCTTCTTCCTTACCCTTTTCTGTTTTCCTTAATAAAGAAAGGGAAATTTCAACATGTCCTACAGAGGGTAACATTCACTTCCCCTTCTTTCTGTTTCCTGTTTTTTTTATTCATATCTGTGATTTTATTTTATGGGTTTTCTTCTTTAAGTCTGTTCTTGAAGAGTTTCTTTAGTCTGGATTGATGGATTTTACAGTTTTGCGTTTTATCTATTTATTTTCATTTGGGATTGTTATTTAGCGCTTATAGCTATACTTTGGTTGTGATGAAAGAATGAAATAAGTGAAAAAAGGAGAGAGAGAAAGATGGGCTTCAAGCTTAAATGGTTTAAGATTATAGTTATCGTCCTTTATTTTTCCCTATTTGAATCTTAAATTATAATCAAATCGATGAATCATTTTGTAACATGGTAAGCTATGAATTTATATAAAATTAATGTCATATAATTGATTTTTCATTTTTCTTTGAAGCACTGAAAACACAAGTGTCCATTATTGCATTGTTATTTTATCGAATTTTAGTTATCTATTGAATAAGTGTTGACTGGTCTTCTTTGTTTCCTTCATGATCTTTGGAAACTGAAGTAAATATACCGATGGGGCTGATGGGCGTGAGATGGGTGCAAAACGTCAGCGGATCATCGATCAAGGCCCTTCATTCTATGGTAATTCGCCAGGTTCTAGCTTTATGTACACTGCCCCCCCTCCTCCTTACTCGTATGTTAGCCAACCTCCACCGTTCCCTGTTGTTCGACTTCGTGGTCTTCCCTTTGATTGCACAGAGGCTGATATGATTGAGTTCTTCCATGGTCTGGACATAGTTGATGTCCTGTTTGTCCATAGAAACGGCAATTTCACTGGCGAGGCTTTTTGCGTTTTTGGTTACCCTCTTCAGGTTGATTTTGCACTTCAGAAGAATAGGCAGAACATGGGCAGGAGATATGTAGAGGTTTTCAGAAGCAAGAGACAGGAATATTATAAGGCAATAGCTAATGAAGTGGCTGATGCTCGAGGCGGTTCACCTCGCAGAAGTGCCCCGAGGGCCAAATCTAGTGATGAAGCAAAGGAACCTGCTGAACATACAGGGATATTGAGATTGAGGGGATTGCCGTTTTCTGCTGGAAAAGATGATATAATAGAGTTCTTTAAAGATTTCGAGTTATCCGAGGATGCAATTCATATAGTGTTGAATTCAAAGGGGAGGTCAAGTGGGGAAGCATTCGTGGAGTTTGCGGATGCAGAAGATTCTAAAGCCGCAATGGCTAAGGATAGGATGACACTCGGGAGCCGTTATATCGAGTTGTTCCCGTCGTTTCCTGAAGAGATGGACGATGCAATTTCAAGAGGACGGTGATTTTTCTGACAATGCTCTTATTTGCTATTCTAATCCTGTCATTGTTTCTTACCATGTTTCTCTTTCCAGCTGGAATTTTCTTTGCTAGTTTTCTCGAGTCAACAGGAAGATAAAGTGTTACTATCCAAGGTCTGGCATGGGTTAAATACAAGAAGCTGCAATCTTTTATTAGGCTTTTATCTGATATGTCTAGTCTTTGATTGTGGATTGACTAAAGTTGTCGGTTACAAGTCGAATTTCGTCTGGACGGTTTAGGCCCTATTAGATGATTTGCTCTATTGGTAGTTGTAGCATTATTTACATTTTGTTAATCATAACTGTGAGATATTGTACTCTTTTGATACTTACTGGGTTATAATAATACTGTCGGAAGATTTAGCTTGTTAAGAGGCCTCATATTTACCTTCCTTTCAAGAAGAAATGTCCCAAACTGATGAACATGGTTGGAAGAACAAGCAAAGGTTGTTCTTTTTTGGGTTAAACTACCCAAAATTGATTAAAATGTTTTTACCGGTCTTTATTAGTTACTTTGGTCTTTATTTTGGTTCTTCTTACTTACGATTAAAATGTTGATGTGACATGTTTACGTGTAAGTGATAGACCTGATATAATAGGTAAAAAGGCATAAGAGATCTCTCTACTTTTGAAAAAAAAAAAGTAATGTGGTCCTTGTATTATTTTTTCTCTCAATATGGACCTCCAACTTAGAAAATAAACCTAATGTAGTTTTTTAATTAATATTTTTTTGTCGTTGATCGTTACAGTATTGATGTGGTAGTTCAACGTGTTGACGTGACAATCATGATGCTTCCATGACAGTCTAAGGTGACAGATTAACGTGACGGATAATATGACAGATTGATTAAATTAGTAACTCAAACATGATAGATGAACTGTCATGTCAACATTGTGGATTCTCACGTCAACATCGTGAATTGGCACGCCAGTACTGTAACGTTCAACAACGAAAAACATTGGCCAAAGGGTCACATTGAGTTTGTTTTATGAGTTGGAGGGTCATATTAAAGAAAAAAAATACGATGATCGCTTTAATTTTTTTTTTTCAAAAATTCATGGACCTATAATACACTTTTACCGATATAATATTGTGTCAAGAAAAATCTAATAATACCTCCTCTCTAGGTTTTGACAATTGCAATCTAATAATTTATGGAAATTCAACTGATCCCGGCAAAAGATAGAAAATGTTAAGATGATTATTCAAATAAATGTTAAAAAATCTAATAAATGCTTATTTTACTTGTTTCCTCGGTTAATTGTCCGTCCAGCTCAGTTGGTAGAGTACAAGGCTCTTAACCTTCGGGTCGTGGGATCGAGTCCCACGAGGGATAATTCATAATTTGGAGGTCTCCACAGAAACTACTCTCAACCTGACGTTGGGATCATTCCGGTCCAATATAATTGGAAGGATCAGCTGAAGGGATCATTCCGGTTCAGTTTTTAGAATCATGAAATTGAAGTACTACATTGAGAAACTAAAGGGTCAAGGGTACAGTAAGTTAAGGGCATGATTATTCAAGGGTGTATTTGGTTGGGGGAATGTGAGATTCTTCCGAGAATGTGAGATTCCCCCGAGAATGTAATCCACATTCTCCCGTTTGGTTGGACGAGAATGTCATTCTCGGTAATTTTATATTACCAATAGTAGATTTTTTTGGGTATATTATCGGGAATGTCATTACCTCCATTCCTTTAGGTATTGTAATATTATCGGCGTTTTTGGACTATAATGCCCTTAAATTTTTATTTTTTTTCAAAAATATCATTCTTCTGTCATTGAATAATAAAAATTCTACGAATGTTAAATTACAAATTTATCCTTAAATTATTTTAGATTTACAAAAAAAAAATCTATAATTAAAATTTTATATGAAGTTCATGGGTTAAAATAAAATTTTACCCTTTCATTAAACCTTTTTTATATTTTTTATTTTGTAAAAAAATTATATAAATATTATGAATTTAATTTTTTAAAGAAAATATATAAATATTTTACAACTTGTAATATTGTACAAATATATAATAAGGACAGTTTGGTCAAATATACATTCCAATAATCTTTTATTCCTTTAACCAAACACGGCAAGCTTACATTCCTGCTAAACTAACCAAACAAAAAATATAACATTCTCAGTAATTCTATTCTCTGGTAATCTTTTATTTACACTGGTAATCTTACATTCCGTGAACCAAACGCACATTATGAAAGAAAGTACATTTTTCCCCAGGTTTTTCAAAGGCCCAAGATATGTGCTCAATTACACTTCTAGGGCAGGCAGGGTCAACTAAACACAATACGTTGGCTTTTGGTGGATAGGTTAATAAGTAGAGGATCAAAATAAAATGATGATATTGATAGTTTAAGAGATTATATATAAAATTTAGATATTAATTTAGAATAAGAATAATAACTTAAAGATTAGTATATAATATTTAAAATAAGGACCAGACAAATTATCTCTCTTCCTTTCCTTGCCCTTTCGGCCTTTCCTCACTACGCCAATGGTTAGGGCAGCGGTCACCCCTGCCCTAAATTTTCCCACTCAGATATTAACGCTCAACGCTTGTGAGTTTGTGAAAGAATCTCTCATGAGTTTCATGTTCCATAACTCGGTCTTCTTCCTAGTAGTTTGATTTCCTTTTGTGTTTCACAACAAAACCTAAGTTCATCCCTAATCCTCTTCAAGTTTCATCCCTAATCCTCTTCAAGTTCCTTTTATTGGAGTGTAACAATTATTCCCCAATATGTATTTCTTCAGTACTTAATCTGATTTTTGCTGCTGATCTCAGTTTTTGGTTTTTCTCTCTGTATCATCATCTTCTTCTTCTTCAACTGATCCATTTTTGGTGTCTTTCAAAAGTTTGAGCTTCTAAAGGAATTATTTACTTACCTTTTTCTCATTACCACTTTTCAGTCAAATTTAGTTAAAGTTTTCACTAGGTTTAACTGTTCAAGAAGTACTGGGATGACAGTTTCTTCTCTTGGAGTTGGATCTCTTCATTCACCCTGGAAATTTACTTGTTAAAGTTCTTCGACTTGTTCTCTCTTTCTGCCAGTTTTAGTACTTCAAGTTTCTTAATTCTCTTCCAATGGCACCCACCAGCAGAAGAGGCAAAGCCAGCAAGCCACTAAGAACCCATTACAAAAGGAAGCTTGAACAGCCAAGTACTATTCAAAAGGCACCATCTTCCACCACGAGTTCAGATAATCTTCCCAAGATCGAGGGATTCGATATCGAACGAGTCGATGATACCTCCACTAGTACTACTAGTCCATATTCTACCCCGAAAGCTCGGCGGTTTCGGATACCGGAGATCGATACATGCCCTCCGGCACCGAAGAAACAAAGGGTTCTCTCCAATTACTCATTGCAAAGAACACCTATTGCTTTCTTTGCTCCTCCGGATTTAGAGCTGTTCTTCTTTTTCGCACGTAGGGATATCTCAGTCTGATCAATAGTTTTAAGATTAGGTGTTTCTTCTATTTGATTTATTTTGAAGTTTGATTTCATTGAGTATAGTTTTAAGAACCTATGAGTGATTTAGGAGGAGGAACAAGAAAAAAGTTGGTAGCTATTTTGCTTACTTTTGAGGGCAAATTTTGTTGGGTTTTCAAATTTGTAGGGTATTGCTAATCACTACATTTGTAGGGTATTGCTGACTTTTGGAAGAGTGCAATATTGTAATATGTGGGTGTAATTTGAAGGTTTTTTAAGTGTGATTTTTGTTTGTTTAAGTCAACTTTAGAAAGTGAAAGAATACATTCTTCTTCCTCTATTGTGCAATTCCTTGATTATATTATTATATGGTTGGTTTGATTTGTGTGGCATCTTATGGTGCAATTCAAGGCAATAAGTTTTTAGTGAACACCACTTTGATTTGAGATGAAAACACACTTTGTTTTTTCTATGCTTTTTGTTGGACACCTCAAACAAACAATTACATAGAAACTCTTGTGGGGAAAAACTAAACAGATTAGAGACTTGATTAATGGCTAAATTAGTGAAATTTGAGGGTCCCCCACCACCCCAAACACCCTTTGATTGTGATCTAAATGAATAAAAAAGAGTTCGGCAAAGGGTGATGCCCTGCATATTCTACTTTAGGAATGAGGACACTTGAAATCTTTTGAAAGTTTTGAGTTCTACCCATTTATTATTTGCATCGCGGTCGTCTTTCGGTTGGGTCCGGAATTGAGCTACGACTTGTATGAAATGGTTAGAGTCGCCACCTATCATTTTAAAATAAATATTTAGGCTGATCGGACACCATTTTACCTGATCTGCATTTCACCAGAAATGTGTCGGGTTCGGGAGTCGGTTACAGTCAAGGAATGATTAGCACCCTTGAACCACCCTTTCGATACCAATTAATTTTTCGGTTGTCTTAAATCGCGAAAATTAAAATTAAAATTTAAAAATTCAATTTGAACTACTTACCTTTGATTGATTGAAATTACCCCAATTTGAACTACTTACCTTTGATTGATTGAAATTACCCCTCCGATCGTCGAGGCTCTCTTTCTGCCAGTGAAGAAAACGAAGGGTTCTTTTTAAGGTGAGGTAAGACGTTTTGATTCAATTTTCCCCCGATATTTTTGAATCGAAAACTCTCTATTTTTTGGGTTCCTCAATTGGTCCAATCATTGGATTTAGGGTTTGAAAAAAATGGCTTCTTTCTCTTATTTTTCGAATGGCTATGGAATTCTTTCCTCTTCGTTTCTTTTTTCGATCCCCCCTTCAAAGGCTTCGGGTTTCCCAAATGACTTGCACCCTTGTTTCGAATGATTGTCCCTCTCCGAATCCTCTGTATTTCTCTCGTATTTTTCGTGTATTTCCCCTTTTTTCATAATTGAAGGTGAGTTCCCCTTGTGTTTCCCGTATATTTCTTGTATCCTCGTATTTGCTCGTGCATGTATATTTATAGTGCTAGAGTTGGCTATTTTTAGAGAGATTAGAGTCCTATTCAAATTGAACTCTTGCTTTGTTGGTTGTGGATGAGTCCCATGTATCCACATTCGTTGGTGGCCGAGAAAGGTGGGGGTTTGATCGAGACAAACGGCCGGTCGAAGGGTGAGAAGGTTGTGGTGTTGGAAATGAGTTTAGGGTTTGTAAACCCTACTGGTTCGGTTCGAAGGGTCGCTTGTTGGGTCGCAGTTGGTCTTGGGTTGTTGAGCGTGTAACTTGGGTTTTGGGCCTGCAAAATAAAAAAAATATGTAATACATGTGTAATGCTATAATATATATTATAATATACATTATATAATTATAACATAAGGACGGAAATAGGTATCTACAGCTAGAAACTGGCCAGAATTCGCTTGGGATGTTATGGCCATTCAAGTATAAGTCTGAAGGTCAAGGGGCGAATGAAGTAATTAACCCTTGTTTTCTCAACTAGTTGAGTGAGAAGAAGAAAGCAAAATATGCATTATTTAGATAGATAAAGATGATGGTGTCAGACTGCGAGTGTCTGCCTGTCCGAGTTCACCACAACATGGCTAAGAGAATCCAATGAACAGACTCGTGCGGGTTTTTATCATTTCTTACAGTGGAGAATCTCGAGATAGTTTCATTTCTCATATGTTTTTATATTATTTGGAATTCACTTCTGCTGAATCATAATAATATTATAATTGTAGGAAATATATATGATGAATAAGGGGGATGGGATAGTTTGCATTTGATATTCATGCATGTCCCTCTGCTTAATTTCAATGATGAGGTCCCTCGGAGAATTCCACCTTTTTCACACTGCATGTTATGGTCCATTTTTTTGTTGGTTATGACTTAGGACTCGTATAGACGATCATGTTCATGGCCATAACCCCCCTTCTCTCTCAACAAACATGTGTATGAATCATGATTCCTTTTTAATCTTGTTATACTTTTGGAGACAAACATTGAATACTACAACTTTGATAGGTTATTATCTCTTAATAAAATTATCGATATATATATATATATAAGAAATTTGACAAGATTCAAATGTATTCATAACGGTCGTATTTTTTCACCATGACTACATATAAACAATAATTATGATCCTATATCTAACACCAACACACATAAGGAGTCGATAAATTGAACATTTATGCACATTAAGAAGGGGTCTTCTTATTCGAATCCACATTCATTCTCTTGCTCTATCTCATTCTTTTTTCATATTTACATGATATACAATAGTTATCAATCATCGATTCTGACTCTCCGTTCAAACCACAAAGAATGAACTACTGTAATAATCGTTACAATTTATTTGTTTTTATCAACAAATCTTGATGTTATAAAAAAACATTGTGTTTATTGAAAATTAAAACTCACTTTTATAAAAGATTAAAAGTTTTAAATAGCAAATAAAATTTTAAATTTAAAGATAATATAAAAATATTATATTTGAACTCAATTGAGTACTTGACCTATTATATAAATACAATAGATGTTTTTTGGGTTATTTTTTATTGATAAAAAGGTATAAGAGGTCTTTATATTTTTTTAAAAAAAGAATAATGTGGTCTTCATATTATTATTTTTAATATGGTCTTTTAACTCAAAAAAAAATCCAATGTGATTCTTTAACTAATGTTTTCATCTTTGATCGTTACGGTATTGACGTGATAGTTCACGTGCTGATGTGACAGTCCACGATACTAACATGACAATTCATCTACCATGTTTAAGTTATTAATATTGTCAATATGTCATATCATTCACCACGTTAATTTATCACTGTGGATTATATATCAACACCGTAAATTATCACATTACTATCGTAATAACCTACTATAAGAAAACGTTTAATCAAAGTATCATTGTATATATTTTCTCTATGTGTGAAAAAGATACTAAAAGATGATGATAAGGCATGGTAGGTGTGAATAGTTAATGAAAGTGGAAAAAGAGAATTAAGGAACCTTGGAAGAGGATTTTCTTTAATATTTTTCAAGATAGTTAATTAATGACAAACTTCACTGCATGTGGATTGGTGTCTTTATGTGTGAAGTTAAATTTTCAATTCCAATGATGAATCTTATGTTTATCATCTAAAGTTAAAGTCGATTTCCTTTAATCTTATGAGCTTTGCTCAGCCTTTTTCTATAGAATCCGAGGTTGCCCACTCCTTTCCCAAACAAAACACTCATATTTTAAATTTTAATGATTAATATATCAAAATTTAACTTCTTATTACATAATTATTATTAATAAAAGTATAAAAATATGTTTTAAAATCTATACATGATGTAATTTTTAATATATTTGTTGAGTTAATCGATTGACGGAATCGGCCAAGAGGGGGTGAATTGACAATTAAAAAAATTTGAAGAAGCTTTTGCAGAAAATTGAAAGTAATTGCACAGCGATTTAGAGTGGTTCGACTTTATCAACCAAAGTCTTCCACTACCTTAGCTATCCACACTAAGGATTTTCCAACAAATTCACTAATTTGTTCTTTCTTTTGAGGTCAAAGAGATAACCTTACAACTCCCTCAAGAATATACCTCAATTCTTGAGAACACTCTTTTCTCAAAGAGAAGATTACAAATTTGCAAACTTACAAGAAAAATCCCACAAGGCAAATATGTTTGCACAATTCTAGAACAAAGAAAGAACACTCAAGAATAAATACGATTGAGCACGATAAGTGTTCTTGAAAGCAAAATGAATATTGAATGAAAAATAGGCTTGAAATGCTCAAACTTGAGGTTTGATGCTTTCTCTTTGATTCTCTCTTGATTCTAGTTGCTTGATGTTTCTTATTCTTGATCAATGGCTTCAAAGCTTGCTTAAATACACTTTGAATCACTTCTGAACGTTGGGGATGATTAGTGGAGATAATAGAGCCGTTTAAGTGTGAAATCATTTAATAAAACAGCTTGGAGCGTGGGGGGAATCGGTTCCCTAAGTGTAAAATTCAAATATTTCGACCGTTTGAACAAGGGAGAATCGGTACCCCTAGGGGGAATCGGTATCCCCTTGGGGGGAAATCGGTTCCCTCTGAGCAATCTGGAATTTTTGACTTTGAAATGGTTCGAAATATTTTGTAAAATTGTTTTGAAATTATTTTAAGATTAAACTTAATTTACACTTGAGTAAGGATTAAAAGACATTGAAAATTTAAAGTAATATTTTGATATTCGAATGAATATACTTAGAAAATCTTTTTGGAAAATCTTAAAATTCATTTAACTTAATTTGTTATATCGAAATATCAAAATGTTTTCAACAATCTCCCCCTTTTTGATATAACAAAACATTTTAGTAATTTTAAGATTTGAAATCAAGTTTTGAAATTACTCCCCCTTACTCTAACACTTCTCCCCTTTAAAACACTTTAACATTTCTTTAACATTTCTCCCCCTTTTTGTTAAATCAAAAAGACTGTTAAAAGATTTTAAACAAGGTTTTGAAAAGTAATTAGCCAATTGATTATAGATATAGCTTAAGCTGCTAAGAACACAATCAAGAGAAACGTTAGCCATTAGTTTCATAATCAATATTCATAACCAATGTGATATGGCAAAATTGGTCATATATCTAAAATGATGTAAATGATGCAATAAATTTAATTAAACCAAATATATATATATATATTCAAACATCCATAAATCCAAACAAATTCAAAGTCAAACAATCCACAAAATCAAACATTCCAAAATATTCAAAATGTTGAAACAATAATCTTTAAGTTCAAAGCATAACACAGAATCAAGCATC